TAAACCCTAAACCCTAAACGGGTCTAATAGAGGGTAGATGGAGGGTCTAGGTCAGTGGTTTCTACTTTGGGCTACTTGAGGCGGGTCTTGGGCTTTTTCGCACTACCTACAGTCTCCATTGTAGTTCCGTTTTGGGGATACCCTCTAAAAATCCTTAATACGTATACTTGGTTAAACCAGAAAGGAACTACAATGGAGACTGTAGGTACGGCTTTTAGTATTCGTCCGAAGTACCTATATAGCAGAATGTAGGGATTCGATATTCGAAATTACAATTATGGTTTGCGCAAGTATCCCCTGTCACAGTACCTAGGACGCTTTGGAAAAGCCAGGCTCAGGCGGCCCGCCAGAGAAGCCCTAAGCCCTAAACCCTAAGCTCTAAACACTAAACTCTAAGGGTTTAGGGTTTAGGGTAAACCCTAAACCCTAAGCCCTAAACCCAAAGCCCTAAGCCCAAAACGCTAAACCCTGCACCCGAAGCCCCAAACCCTAAAGCCTAGCAAAAGAAACGTACCCAACTTGCCGTTGCCGGCTTGACGCGGCTTTGATTTGTTTTGTTAGTGCCCGCACTCCTCAGTGGCCGCATGCCCAATTCTACTTTAGAACTAATAACCTATATTATAATCTGTACTCTCTGTATGTAACCTGTACTATCAACTGTAGTCGAATCTAGACTCTAATCTGTACTAAATATACACTGTACATACTATACTATACTATGCTATACTGTACCATAAATACTAACGGATAATCGCCAACAACCTCCCCACGCAAATCCCGACAAACCCCAGAAGGACCCTTCTTTTCGCTGGCATTAAGTGACAACAGCCGTAAGCCTGAAACACCACACTCACTCTAAAGTAAGCAGCCCGTAGTTGTCGTAATATTTCAGTGAAGTAGCTGCCGACATTCGTTTGACGCAGTGAGGGCGAAGCCCTTCTGGCAAACGCCGCACTGACCCTCGCGTGTCCGCGCCTCGGCTGCTTAGGGGCTCCCTGGAGAAAAAAAAGTAGGGGGGATTGAGAGGCTTTAGGGTTTTAGGGTTTAGGGTTTAGGGTGGCCCTGTGGCTATAGGGTTTAAGGCTGGGGTGAAGAGTTGCGGGTAAAAGGGCTTCAGAGTAGCTTGATGTTTTTGGGAGCACTGCCATCAGTACAGTTCAGCAGTTTGAGGGTACAGGGGTTTGGGGGTTGAAGGGTTTAGGTCCAAGTTGAGGCTTGAAGGATTTCAGGGGTCAGGGCTGAGGGTGTAAAGGGCATAGATTACTTGATTACTTGATGAAGGGTGTCTAAGAGCCCAGGATCACAAAAGCACCTAAACTAGATAAGTATGAAGGTAATGTCCCTGCCGGTACCGGGGAAGGGGGGGTGGCAGATTCCAAATCGGCTTTACGGTATTACTCTTCTTCCATCTGCCTTCTAAACAGGAGAGAGTGCACCCAGGTATGTCGCAAGCTCTCCAAAGGCACTTTATGCCGATATAGCTGGACTCTAGCCTGGGTTTAGAAAAACGAGTGTTCAAACCCGAAGCTCTTGACACTAAAACTCTGAACCCTAAACACTTAAAAACCCTATACCAAAGCCCTAAAACTCCTGGGGCCTGAACCGCATACCCCAAAAGCCTTCACACACACACACACACACACACACTGAAACCCTAAACCGCGCAAAGCCTCAACCCTTAAACCCTTAATACCTGAACTCGGAAACCCTCAAGCCCTACGGTTTAGGGTTTAGGGTTTAGGGTAAACCCCAAACGTCCTTGGAGATTCCCATGTTGGGGCTCTCGGCGTTGAGAACTTCATGGGTGCACCCAACAGTATCCAACAACTAATACAGGGGCCGGAATAGTTGGTTGCGGTTTCCTTTGCTATAATAATAAGAGTTTAGGGTTTAGGGTTTAGGGGGCTTCCTTTGCTATAACAGTAATAACAAGGAGGAGCAGAATGCAGTGAAATAGCAGCACCTTTCTTTCAGACTGGTAGGGCCTGAAAATTGGATTAGGGTGCTGGTTTGGGGTCGACTTTGCTGCAAGGCTACTGGGGAGCAGGTTCTGCGGCTTTACCCATAGGCCCCATAGTAGCTCCTTTCTGGGATTACCTTATAGGATTCTAAATATGAACCCCAAAAAAGAACTACTTTAGGGTCTATAGGCCCCACAGTAGTTCCTCTTTCCTTATAGGATTCTAAATATGAACCCCAAAAAAAGAACTACTTTAGGGTCTATGGGTAACACATGCCACAGATACTCAGAAGAAGGCTTCCTTTATCATCCGAGCCACGCATTCCGAAATTCCTACACTCTACACCCCAAAGTCCCCTGAACCCTAAACCCTAAACCCTAAACCCTAAACCCTGATAGCAACTCTGAGATCCCTGCAACATGCATGAAAACCCTCAGTCCAAACCCAGACCAAAAAAGCTCAAACCCCACCAGCCCTGTATAGAAGCCTCAGAATAGAACTCTCAAGTAGAACTCTCAACGGGTTTAGGCCTTAGGGTTTAGGGGTTTAGGGTTTAGGGGTTTAGGGTTTAGAAGCATCCAACGAAAGCAGGCGAGATGCATGAGTGGCGAGGCATTTGTAGCAGCCTGTGATGTAATCCTCGGGTTGACGTGAGCTCCGGCGGTTCGGGGTTGAGGGTTATAAGGGCTACTGTAGGATTTTCGGGTTTCTGGGTAGAGTCCCTACGAACTAGACCATTACCCTCCTTGAAATGAGCTCTATAGTTGGGGGGCTCATGTGCTTAACAAGGGCTTGGCCTTTTGACAAGTGTTATCAGAGGCTTCTGGGAAAAAAGTTTAGGGTGTGAGGCATTTCGGGCTTGGGGCTCGACTATTATAAAGGCTTTTAGGCTTCAGGGCCCCGTTTTTTGGTGCCCACTCAAGGTTCTGAGGCGTTCAGATAAGGGCCTGCAAGAATAAATAGAATAGGGCTTTAGGATTTCCTTCTCCAGGATGTTATGGCCACTGCATGTCGTCATCTCCTTCGGCATGAATATCGTCATCGTCAACACGAGCAGTTCAAACTCAACCATGAACATGACCACTGCCCGCATTATCACCATCAACATCAATACCTTAAGGACCAAATGACACTTAAANNCTTAAAAGTAGGGGCCCTATACCTTTGTACTATGAGTCCCTATATGGTATATGAACCTTAAACCCGTTTAGGGGTCTATATCATCATCGTCTTCATCCTGAACTTCACCATCGCCACTAGTTCGTGTAGTTCCGTGGTTGAACCCGAAACCCCCGGTGAGATTCCGCTGCGTACAAGCCTTAGGAAGACTAAGGATCAGCTCAAATCTTGTCAAAGACCTCAGAGTTTCGGGCTTAGGGCTAAGATGCCACTTTTTCCAAATGGTCGCTGTGAACTCTGGCTAGCTGTACTCCATCGTGGCGAAGGCGCTGGGTCACAGTCAAAGGCCTCGCACATACCGGTGACCATCAGCTTATAGCCCGGATTACCTGGCGACCGCTTCAAGCAGAACGTATGTCGAAGTACTGATACAGCTGCAAGTTGGGACTAAGTTGGGACCCCCTAGACCCCAAAAGCCGGAATCGCCCGGCTCCTCAGCTCACTCTGTAACCCTAAACCCTAAACCCTAAACCCTGAACTTTCTACAAAACTGTCTGGGGCTTAGAGCAGTAAGACGTCGGCACCCATCCCCAGTTCGGCTCTTCGGGCCAGACTCCGTGAGATTAGTCGTATAGAGGGGCCTTGAGGTTTAGGGTTTAGGGTCTAGAGGTTTAGGGTTTAGGGTTTAGGGTTTAGGGTTTAGGGTCTAGAGGTTGAGGGTTTAAAGTTTAGGGTTTACGACATACCCTCGCGTAGTGCGTAAGTTGTAATACCATTCGTCAGCTTTGCCTTACAAAAAAGTGTAGGACCCTCCCCCCTTTAACTTGCGGTTTCCGGAAAGATTCTGATAGGTCATAACATACCCCATTTCTGTCTAGAATACGAGCACAGGACTTAGCTTATCTCTGTTCCAACTTTGTAGGGTTTAGGGTTTAGGGTTTAGGGCTTGTGCCGCGAATGAAAACGGCATCCTAAACACTGGAGCTGTCCTCAGGGAATGTTCTGCCAGACGGCCCTGCAGCTCCCTGCAGAAGCCTTCATCTAGGCCTGTACTATAGGAGCCTTAACAATTACCCATATTATTTTGGGGGTTCCAGGTTTGAAATATAGCTAAAATATACACCCAAATCCTATTGTAATTACCTGTGCAGTGTAGACTGAATCCCAACGACTCATAGAAAGCCTGACATGACTAGGTGAGGGTTGCGCGCCGCTTGGTTTTTAAAACCCTATTTGGAATCATGCTCCTGAACCATGCTACTAAGTCTGAAGTACTCAGGCTCCTGGAGCAGCCCTAAACCCTAAACCCTAAACCAGTAGGTATGGCACGATGCTTGGGTTTAATGGCTCCAAGCATATCACGAGTTAGGGCTTCGGGTTAAGAAGGATTCGGGATTTGAGATTGAGGACGGTTTAGGTCTCTAGTTTAGGATTTAGGGCTTACCGTCTCTAAAGGTCGAGGTTGGGGGCTTTGGTAGCCTATGAGGCTTTGTCTATAGCTCTTCAGAGGGTCATGAATCCTCAAAGGGTGTCACAGCGCCTGAACATTGCATGTAACGACAAGTGCAAAGTTATAGCTGTGATCCCTAGCAGACTTTGAAAGCACAGAGGGATTTGTATTGATTGAAACAGGATGTTGTGGTCGATTATACGAGAAGCACAATAAGCAAGCCTGTGGAATGCCAGTCCTAGTCATGATGACTCCTAGACTGCAGGGGCTGACACCCGGCCCTAGAACAAACTGACGCCCAAACAGTAGCTGCTGGGCTGATGAAAGCTTGGTAGTGTTCGCAACTCGGGGTGTTGGCGCATTGGCTGTTAAGGTTAGTATGATAATGAACCTAAACCCTAAAAGTCTAGGGTTATTCGGGCTCAGGAATGCCAGTTTAGATACGGCACTCAGAGGTTCAGCGCTCCCGGTCGTCACTTGAGGGTCTCGCCCCATACTCGGCGACCCCGGAAGTCTAATGTCACCCTAATGAGTACCCTCTGGGGTGACCCCAAGTGAGCCTATATCTCTGGACTCTCGACCTATGACCTACTCTAGCATGGAAACGCCTTAGGCATCGGTCCAAAATGTTGAAATACATATGAACAACTGGAAAAAGCTGACAAACAAGTTGCTACAAAGCCGAAACAGCTGAAACAGCTGAATAACCGGATCGGGCTTGCAGAATTTTTTCAGAGTTGCTACAAACAACATTCAGACTTTTTTGAACTTTGCCAGACCTGTCCATCCGATCTGGGTTACAACATCTTACAACTATAAACCCTTCCATTGCATGTTTAGGGTTTAGGGTTTAGGGTTTAGGGTTTAGGGTTTAGGGTTTGAAGCTGGAGTATGAGACAGGGTGCACTCCGCGCATTGATCATCTGCCGTCCTAGCCTGGCGCAAATCAGGGCTTGGAGTTTGGCAGGCTAGGGCTTAGGGTAAACTGATTCCTGGCTTTAGGGGTTCACAGGGTTTGGGTAGGTTAGAGTTTAGGGGTTAACGGATTTTGATAGGGTTGAGTTTATGGACTGGGGGTGTAGGGTTTCGGTAGGGTTTAGTTTGGGGGAAGGTTAGGGGCTCCCAGGCCGTTAAGGCGTAAAGGATCATGACCGGTTTCGCTCACTTGGAGTTGAAGTAGTATCCACGCATGCTGCCTACACAGCAAACTCAGAGACTCAGCCTGCGATCATGGGAGAGACCTAAACCGAAACCGTGACCCCCCCCTTGTACCCTCAAATAGGGGTATATGGTCCTAATTAATTATAATGGGTACTTAGGGTCTCCTAGCGGGTAGATGGAGGGTCTAGGAAACCCCTAAAACCCCAAACCCTAAACTCCATAAACTTAAACCGAAACCGTGACCCCCCGAACAAGGGGCCTCGGTATCCCGGCAGAGGCGGCAGGCACGACCCGGCCCAGTAAAGCAAACGAACTCGCGCTTTTCGCTCCGGCGCTTCGCCAGCAAAGCCTCGAAAACTCGGGAGCTAGGGTTTAGGGTTTAGAGTTTAGGGTTTAGGGTTTGGGGTTTAGGTCTTAGGGTTTAGAGCTTACGGTTTAGGATTTGGGGTTTAGGGTTTAGGGCTGCGTTCTTCGTCTTGACCTAGATGTGCACAACATATATGTCGTTGGAGTATAGATATACTGATATACTTGTGTGTATAGGAATGTCTAGATATGCATGTTACTATAAATACACATAGGTAATTACAAACTATTATCATGCATATGTATATATGTATGGAAGAGAAAGGGAGGGAGGAAGAGAGAAAGAGCTGCTTTTTTGAGGGTGGGAGGCGCTTTGCAGATTGATTTCGTCTTTTCCATTGGGGTTCAATTTGAATTGGGCATCGGTTTAAGTCAGGTCAGAGAACGCTGGGAGGTGGGTTCAAGCTTTAGGGCATCGGCACTAACGTGGAAACAAACTTGAGTTGAACATAGGAGACCGACACGCTACACCCTGAACATCTCACCCTCAAAGGGTCCAAGTAATAGTATCGTCTATATTTTTGGGGCCCAAATATCTACTAAGTAGCTACCATATTAGTACTTGGACCCTTTGGGACCCTAAGCAGGAGGATCCCAAAGCTCAAAAGCTCAAGCTGGAACATCGGGACCACCTGCCACCACCCACCTCCCTGCACACGAGCACCCCATCACTTCTCCCTCCTATAAGGATAATCAGGAACCCTATAGAAGAATATTAGTAGTTGTTCCGGCCCGGGCCTTAGGCCCAAAACCCTGGTACTGTAGCAAGCAGAACTCGGCCCGAACCCACAACCCCTAAACACATCAAAGCACTATAAAACCCTGAACAAAAACCCCAAACATCCCTAAAACCCAAACCCTACCCTACACCTTAAATCCCAACCCCCCCCCCCC